CGACATACGAGGGGAGACCTAGAAGGTAAAACACCTACAACACGTGAACCAGGTCGGACATAAAAGACCTCGGCCTGAAGATTGCAAGGGACCGACGGTAGCCTTTACTGAAACTGACCTAGAGATGGTCCAGCACCCCCACAATGATGCCTTGGTAGTATCCCTCCAAGTTGGGGAATGCCAAGTGAAACGCATCCTAATTGATCAAGACAGCTCTTGTGACATCCTGTATGTCAGATGCTACAAGGAGCTCGGGCTTCATCTTGACAACCTGGAACAATCCAGCGGCCCAATAGTCGGCTTCAATGGAATGCCTGGACACTGGACGCAGCAAACGTGGAAGTACAAGCTGGCACTAAGAAGATCAAGACTGAATTCATGGTGATTGACACACCCTCGCCATACAACATCATCTTGGGAAGGCCATGATTGCATGCAATGGGGGCAGTTCCCTCAACGTTGCATCAACTATTGCGGTTCCCAACAGAGTTGGATTGAAGAAGTCAGAGGAGATCAACTACAGGTAAAGAATTGCTCCATGGCAGCAATGAAGTCTACCTGCAGCATACAAGAGCCAATGAAGGCAGAAATTGAAGATGAGGACGTGGAAGTCCTAGAAGACGTCGGCAAAGAACCGGCCGAGAAGAGCGAAGAGGCGCTAAAGAAAATCCTCGTCCGGGATGGGGATGAAGAACGCTTCTTTCTTCTCAGCTTAGGCTTAGCCGAAGAAGAGGAAAAAGAGTTGGAAACTTTTCTAAGAGCCAACATTGAGGTGTTCGCTTGGACACCTTACGAAATGCCTGGCATTGACCCCGAGGTCACTTGCCATAGACTGAACGTCGACAGGTCGGCAAAACCTGTGATACAACGAGCCAGAAGACCGACGTTGATGCACGTCGAAGCAGTAGAAGAAAAAGTAGACAGACTTCTGGAGGCTAGGACCATCCGAGAAGTTCACTACCCGACATGGCTATCCAACACAGTAGTGGTAAAGAAGAACGGTAAGTAGAGGGTCTGTGTAGACTTCACCAGCCTCAACAAAGCCTGCCCCAAAGACAGCTTTCCTCTGCCCAAGATTGACCAACTAATAGATGCTACTTCAGGGCATGGAAGAATGAGTTTTCTAGATGCCTACAGGGGGTACCACCAGATAGCTATGTACCCTCCAGACGAAGAGAAGACAGCGTTTATCACCCCTAAAGGGCTGTACTGTTACAAGGTAATGCCCTTTGGGTTGAAAAACGCAGGAGCAACTTACCAAAGGTTCGTTACCAAGATGTTCAAACACCTAATTGGCAAAACGGTAGAAATCTATATCGATGACATGGTCGTGAAGACCAAGGAATCTAAGGGTCATATTGCCGACCTAAAAGAGGTCTTTGATGTACTCAAAACATACCGGCTCCGACTCAACGCATCGAAGTGTGCATTTGGAGTTGGATTAGGTAAGTTTTTGGGGTACCTGGTAACAAGAAAGGGCATTGAGGCCAGCCCAGATCAAATCAAGGCCATCCTGGAGCTAAAGAGCCCGACGTCGGCAAAACAGGTTCAGATGCTCACTAACAGGGCCGCAGCCCTAAACAGATTTATCAGCAGAAGCTCAGATAAGTGCATACCTTTCTTCAACCTGGTAAAAAAAACCACAGACTTCCTATGGACAGAGGAATGTGAAGCCGCTTTGGCCGACCTAAAAAAATATCTGACCACGGCTCCGGTCCTCTCGACACCTGAACCTGGAGAAGAGCTGTTTTTATACTTAGCTGTGTCAGAACACGCAATAAGTGCAGTACTAATCCGAGAAGAACAAGGAGAACAAAAGGCTGTTTATTATATAAGTAAAACCTTGGCCGACGCAGAAACAAGGTATCTACCACTAGAGAAATTAATGCTGGCCTTAGTAATGGCCTCAAAAAAATTGAACCATTACTTTCAGGCGCACAAGATTGTGGTGCTCACAGAGCACCCACTGAAGTCCCTGTTGCAACAAGGAGACTTAACAGGAAGAATAGCGAGATGGGCAGTTGCCTTGGGCCAGTATGACCTGGAGTTCAGGCCCAGAACAGCAATAAAGGGCCAAGTTTTGGCCGACTTCGTGGCAGAATTCACGTTTGAAACCATCGAACATCGGGCTCCGTTGAGCCAGGATGAGCATTGTCCCAGCAAGCAAGGAGAATCCCAGCCTAAGGCAAAAGAGCAAAGGAAGGAAAAACTCAGACCCTGCAGCATCTACATCGGCGACTCATTCAGACTGTTTGTCGATGGAAGTTCAAACCAACAAGGAGCGGAGGCAGGAATACTGTTGATATCTCCAAATGGAGAAATAATAGAATAGTCCATCCGTTTGGGGTTCAAGGCCTCAAACAATGAGGCGGAATACGAAGCATTAATTGCAGGGCTAAAACTGGCAGCAGTAGCAGAAACAGAAGCAGAAGCAGATGAGGTAATAGCTTTTTGTGATTCACAGCTTATTGTTAACCAGTCAACAGGAGAATTTGCAGCCAGAGACGTAAAGATGTCGGCATATGCAAAAGAGGTCATCAGATTGCCAGCCCTATTTCAGAACTGCTGACTACTCCAAGTTAGTTGAGATGACAACACCCACGCCGACGCGTTGACTAACCTGGCAAGTTCAATGCAGACTGGAAAAACAAGAACAATAATGATTGACTATTTGTCGGGCCCGAGCATAGAACAGCCGATCACAGAACAAGAAGCAATGTGCGTGGACTTGGAACCAAGCTGGATGGATGCAATTGTTGCATTCCTAAAAGAGGGAAAGCTCCCAAAAGACCATAAGGAAGCACATAAGATCAGATTGAAGTCGGCCAGATTCAGTCTGACAGCAGATGGACATCTCTACAAAAGGTCCTTCACTAGACCCCTTTTAAGGTGCGTACACCCTTTGCAGGTTGAAGATTTCCTATATAAAATTTATGAAGGAATTTGTGGAAGCTATGCTGAGGGCAGATCATTAGCCCACAGGGCCATTACCCAGGGGTATTGGTGGCCCTACATGCAAAAGGATGCTGAAGCTTACGTAAAGAAGTGTGAACAATGCTAAAGGTTTGCACCCTTGATACATCAGCCAGCTGCTGACCTGAACCCAGTATCCAGCCCTTGGCCGTTTGCCCAATGGGGCATGGATCTTGTTGGGCAACTTCCCTAGGCAACTGGGCAGAGAAAATACTTGCTGGTAGCAACAGATTACTTTACGAAGTGGATAGAGGCAAAACCTCTTGCCAAAATCCGAGATGTGGACGTCAAGAACTTTATATGGAGCAATATCATCACCAGATTTGGGATTCCAAGAGCAATAGTTGCCGACAACGGAACACAGTTTGACAGCAAACTCATCAAGAACTTTTGTGCGAAATTCAAGATCAAGAATTACTTTTCAACACCAAGTTTTCCCCAAAGTAATGGGCAAGCAGAAGCATCCAACAAAGTAATTTTGGATGGAATAAAGAAGAGGCTGCAGGCAGCAAAATGAAAGTGGGTAGACGAATTGCCTAACGTACTTTGGGCATATCGGACTACGCTGAGAAGATCAACAGGGGAATTCCCCTTTGCCATGGCTTATGGCACATCCACTGGAAGTCGGCATCCCAGGAATCCGAACCTAAGGAGTTGAGAACGGGACTAATGACATACTCTTAGCCCGAAATCTGGATCTTTTGGAAGAACGAAGAGCGAAAGCTGCAATTCAGCTCGCAGTATACCAGCAACAGCTTGCCAGAGCTTACAACAAGAAGGTCAATCCAAGAGATTTTCAAGTCGGCGACCTAGTCCTGAGAAAAGTTTCCTTGTCTTCACTTGTTGAAATTTGTAGCAATTTACAAGTTGGAGTCAAGCTGATTCCTTGTCTTCACTTGTTGAAATTTGTAGCAATTTACAAGTTGGAGTCAAGCTGATTCCTTGTCTTCACTTGTTGAAATTTGTAGCAATTTACAAGTTGGAGTCAAGCTGATTCCTTGTCTTCACTTGTTGAAATTTGTAGCAATTTACAAGTTGAAGTTAAGCTGAGATAGTTCCTTATCTTCATTTGTTGAAATTTGTAGCAATTTACAAGTTGAAGTTAAGCTGAGATAGTTCCTTATCTTCATTTGTTGAAATTTGTAGCAATTTACAAGTTGAAGTTAAGCTGAGATAGTTCCTTATCTTCATTTGTTGAAATTTGTAGCAATTTACAAGTTGAAGTTAAGCCGAGATGATTTGTAGCAATTTACAAGTTAAAGTTAAGCCGGGATGGTTCCTTATCTTCACTTGTTGAAATTTGTAGTAATTTACAAGTTGAAGTTAAGCTAAGATGGTTCCTTATCTTCACTTGTTGAAATTTGTAGCAATTTACAAGTTGAAGTTAAGCCGAGATGATTTGTAGCAATTTACAAGTTAAAGTTAAGCCGAGATGGTTCCTTATCTTCACTTATTGAAATTTGTAGCAATTTACAAGTTGAAGTTAAGCCGAGATGGTTCCTTATCTTCACTTGTTGAAATTTGTAGCAATTTACAAGTTGAAGTTAAGCCAAGATTACTGTTTCTCTTCGCTTGTTTAAATTCGTAACAATTTACGAGTTGAAGCAAAGCCGAGGTTATTGCTTAAACACTTATAGCAATCTACAAGTCAGTTAAGCCAAAGAAGATGCTAAACACTTGTTCAAATTTGTAACAATTTACAAGATAACGTTAAGCCGACATATGATCATCTGTTGAAATTTGTAGCAATTTACAAGTTGAAGAAAAAGCTAAGTATGTTGTTTAAACACTTGTTGAAATTCGTAGCAATTTACAAATAGATTATTGTTTAACACTTGTTATGTTAATCCTTGTTGATCCCTGTTACAGTATATTTTAATCCTTGTTGAAATTTGTAGCAATTTACAAGTAGGCTAGACCGAGATCACCGTTTAAACACTTGTTGAAACTCGAGAAAAAGTTTGCAAAGTTAACATTGAGTAGTATATGTTTCACACTTGTTAGAATTTATGAAAAGTTTGCAGGTCAGTATCTTGCCGAAGTAAAAGTTTTGCAGCTATTATACCCGAGGTATGTAACCCCGAGAAGATTGCACAAAGGAGGCAAAATATGAAAGGCATACAAAAAAATTCTAAGTATAGAATCAAACAGAGGCAGTCAAAGATAAGGCAAAAAAGAATGCAGTCATTCAAAGAAAGATAGTTATGTTAAAATATCCAACACAAACAGAAGGCATACTGTCCAAGAAACAGAAAAGTACAAAAAACAAGAAAAGAGGGACATCAAAGTTATGATTCTTCAACTTCAAGCGCAATTTGAGACTGGACCTCGGCCGATTCTTGGAGAACTACCTCGACTGATTCCTGAAGAGCTACTTCGGCAGTCTTTTCCGCCTCGATTTCGGCGTCAATCGGCACAAGGGTTTCATTAAGACTTTTTTCGACTGGAGGAATGTCAGATGAGGCCTGTTCAGGAGTAGTTTCCTTAGCAACTGCATCACCATCATCATCTTGAGTCAGGTCCAAGACCTGCTCATTCAGAGAAGGAGACTTAGGCCCATCAGCCTCCTTGGATTTCCTTACTAAAGCCTCATCCTCACCTTCCTCCTCATCTTCAGACTCAGATTCAGATTCTTCTTCAACTTGACTTGGAGGTGGAGGAGGAGCAGGGAATGGGAGAGGAATAGCTTCAGCCTTGCGCAGAGGTGAATCTTTAGGAATATTGAGCTTTTTGGCCAGGGACATCCAACCAAGGGAAAAGCCCTTGTTGCATGCCTGCCTAACTTGTAATTTGTATTCCTCTATAACGTCGGCCATTCCTTGGGCATAGGCTTTTTCGTCGGCCGCTTTGATTTCAGCATCTTTAGTGGCCAAGGCCTCCTGAAGTTCCATTTTGGCTTGGGCCTTTTTGTCCTCGGCTTCTCTCTTCTCGGCCTCGGCAACCTTCTTGATGACCTAGCAGATTCGGCCTTTTCTTTGGCTAGGGTTTGGGCTTTGGTGGCAGCCTCAGCCTGGTCTTCCAGTTTTTTCATTTTTGATTGAAGGGCTTTGTTCTCCTTTTTAAGGGCAGAAACCTCCCTCTTCATGTCGGCCAACTTTGCCCTATTTTCAAAAGCTTGCATAAAGAGAGAGTGGACATGTTGAATAGCCTGAAAGAGCACAGGGCAAAAATTATTACAAACTTTTACAAAGTAAAAGAGAAGACAAGTTTCCATGTAAAGACACTTACTTGGACAGAACGTTGGAGCATAAAGGCATAGTTCTCGTACTCATCATCTTGGCATTATGTCGTCGGCACTATCGCTGGCAAGAACGGGCTTATCTTCTAAAGTAATTTCAGGCGTCCAGAGGACTTTTGGTATTCTGGACCCCGAGGTCGTCGCAGACGATGACCTCGGTTTCTTTGATTGTGTGGACTCTGATGGCGGTGTCTCAGCAGACCGTTTTTTGGGAACGGAAGCCGTCTTCTCACTCCCTGCCAATTGTGAAATTGTCAGGGTATCCTCAGCCTCAACTTCAGTGGCTTTAGCCTTTGGCTGGGCTTTCTTGGTTCGTTTCGGCTTTGGTGGGGGCATGGTTTGCGTCGGCTGGGCATCGACGTCAACAGGGAGATCGGCAAGGAGATCTTGAACAACGGGCTTTAGGCGACCCATCTCAGCAGTTTTGACAAGTCTTCGCCGACGTTTTCATTCTTGTATTGGGACCAAGTATGGGGCCGAAGTAGATGGTTGATTGGTTGGGTCAGATGTTGACTCTTGGTCTGTTCGTGATGTAGAGGCGGTTTGAGTTGTGGCAGTAGGAGGAGAAAGGCTTTTCTTCTTTTTTCTGGGACGTCGGGCAAAATCGATTTGTATGTAGGAATAAAGTTGAGAAGAAGAGGTGCTTTTCTTTTGTGAACTGGCAAGTCTAGGAGTTTTTTCAGATCCTTACTGGGAACGTAAGATTGGCGGAAGTCTTTCGCTGGCTTGCGAACGTCTGCAAGAAGAAACAGACATTAGAAATAGATAAAATATTGAAGAATTGAACAGAAACAACTAAGTATTGACGCTGGGCTCTTACCCTTGCCCTCTTTAACTGATCGGGGAAGAGGGTAGAGATGGATGTCCTCGTCTGCGCCAAACTCCCAGTTTTTCGAAGCAATAACATAATCATTTCCAGCCCCCTTGTTGGAGTCTGGAAGGTCGGCTATGATTTTGAATTCAGTGGACCTCGGCTTGAGGTAATAGACGTAACCTTTTCCTTCAGGTTAAGGGGGCACATGGTATAACAGTTGGATGTCGGCAAGGGTGATCCTAGCGTTCTCCTGCCTAACTAAAACTATGATGCCATTGATCACTCGATAAGAGTTTATGGCAAGTTGTATAAGGTTCAACTTGTAAAAGTGAAGAATTTCGCGAAAGAGAATGTTAAGTGGGAGCTGAAGTCCACACTCCGTAAAAGCAACTACAGGGAAGGGCATGGTATCGTCAGTAGGCATAATGGAGTCGTCATCCCCAGCCAACCTCAGATTGACGTCAGCTGGGATTCCGAACTCCTGCCTGAAGTACTCTAATTTCGTCGGGGTGTCAACCCTGTGCCTCCACATACCCAAAACGTCGACCTAAAATCAGAGGGCTAGGTTTCAGAAAGAAAATGCTCTTAAGGGGTTATCGGGACCTCGGCGAAACCCTAGGTATACGCTGGTAAGGATTGTTTCAGTTTTTTCCTAAGAATTGATAGGTTCTATTGACAAATCCTAAACCTAAATCTATGATGGCAAAGATTGAAAGCAAAAATTGAAGGCAGAGATCTGACAAAGACACAAAAAACAGAAAACAAAGGCGAAGTTTCAGAAACAGGGATGGGCTATCAAGAACATGAAGAATACGAGAAATAAATGACCAAGATCAGTGGCAAAAATACAGTGAAGTTGTGCAACGGTGTGTATGTTCAAGATATAGGCAAGGGCCAAATCAAGGAGTAAACACATTCAGATGTATGATTCACAAAATTGATATTTGAGCAAGGCAGTAATAACAGGAGATTCCAGAAATGGTCAAGAATTGAAATCAGAAGGAACAGTTGCTTACCAGAAAAAATGAAGCCGATGTGAGGACTGCCGAAGTCAGTCGGTAGTTACAGATGTGGCAGAACGACGAAAGTTCCACCAGGAAGACAAATGCAGAGCTTGGAGCTTCAGCAATGGCGGATTCGAAAGAACGAGTTTAGAGAGAGAAACAGCAAATGCAATAGCGAAGAAATAAAAGAAGAAGGAAGTGTTTTGTCAAAAACCAAAAACGGTGGCAAAAGGTAATCAATGCGCCTAGAGCAACGCATACGTCAGGCGACGTGCGCAGAAAAAACGTGGTTTATAGGCGCGTCACAAACACGGACCAATAAGGTAAAGACGCGTGAGAGAAACGATTGAGTAAATGATGCGTGACAACTCACACATATGAAGAAGTTCACTGGAATTCTTGTTCTCCGAAGAGAACATGTCGGCTTAAAATAAACGATCTCAGCTGAAGAGTTTGTAAGCCAATGTACAGAAAGAGATATCGATATAGGTTCCATCACCTCAGAATGCCAAGATAATAGAACCTAGGGGGCAGTTGTAGGGATATATTTTCTGGTAGTTATGCCGAGGTTATCTCGGCGAAGCCGAAGTTATCTCCGAAGATATTGGAATCCGAGATAAACGGATAAGGGACAAGAGTCCTAGAGTAAAGAGAAAACTTAGCCAAGATAAGGATAAAACTCTTATGGAGTTTATCTTTATCTCATGAGGAGTCCAAAGTAAGTACTGAATTGGAGTCCATAGAAGTCAGGCTTCTAGTGGGACTAAGAGGGAATTAACTATAAGAGAGAGGCACCCCCGTGGGTCTAAGGTACGTAATTTATGTTTTGAGCAATAAGTTTGGCAATTGATTATCTTTGAGAGATATACTGACTTGATTGTCGGAGTGCCCCCGGGTAGAAGAACCACCGCCAGAGCCTTTTCTTTCTGTTACAAGTTAGCTGAAGCCATCTATTCTGCCGGTGCTCTCCAGCTAATTACTAAGCGAGCAGTGTGGTCAGATTTTCACCCACACACACACACACACACACACATATATATATATATATATCAATGTGTAGAAGATACATGCTCGTCAATTCCTGTCTAAGGCCTTTGAAAAGAGTCACCTTAAGATCAAACTCGATTACAAGATCCACAAAACCTCAGGACAAAACATTCAAAGAAAAACACAGCATAACTAATAAGTGTTCAAAAAAAAACATTCACCTAAACTTAATTATATTTAACATGAAGATTACACAAAAATTATAGTTGTAACAGATCATAAGCAAGTGGTAGAAGAAAAACTATCTTGGATTTTCATAACTGTTTTAATTTCCATGAGCACTAACTTTCAATAAAATTTATAATACACAAAATTGAAACTCCTTTACCCACACTGTTTGTCTGGTTTTCCAATTTTTAGTACCCATTTTCTTTTTCTCTTTTCCAGTTCTCCTTTATTACCCGCACTCTTTGGAGAACAAATATGAAAATCATGAATTGATTTTTATTTGAAGCAGAATTTTCAACTTATAAGTATATAAATAGCAGAATTTTCGCATTTCTATTACTTAACCTCACAGCATACACAGTTGGTACTCCCCAGCTTAATAGCATAAATTTTGATCAATACATCATGTTTTGTATACTTTGTCCCAAAATGTGAATTGGGCCATTTTAATATTACAACACTCAGGAATTAAATAACTCAATGTGTTTAGAAATACGTAAAATATCTACAAAATTTACTTAATGAAAAATTAAATTTGATCATTACTTTTAAAACATAGAATTATCTGATCTAAAATTACAAGATTCACAATCTATTCTTCTTGTATTGTTCCAATTTTATTGGATGTGCCCAAAGGGAAAAGAGATTCAATATATATTCTATCTTATGCGAACACAAAATTTAAGGATAGGTCATTTACAAATTTAACATTATTTTTCATTAGTCAACTCAAAATGAAATAACTCCATCTGCACAAGCAAACAGACCTAACTTTTTCAAGAAACCAACTTGCTCCTATTATCTACAGGTCACATAAATAAATACATACATACATATACAAAATAAGTAGGCTGCAAACAAACCGAGCGGTTACCAAACAACACAGGATTGGTTGTGTGATGGCTTGGTTTGTGTTCGTTTATTTAGTTAATAAACCAAGCTTGAAATTAATAGCAAGCCTGAACCGCCAAGGGCCAAAGATTGGCTCACTAGCCTTGTGACCAAACTACAGTTTCAAGTAAACACTCTCATAAAACGGTTGTTTGGGATGTTTTAAATAAGTGCATTTTTTGACTTTTTATGAAATATGGGTTGGGTTTGAAATTATATAGTAGAGAGGTGATGTGACTTAAATAGGATAAAATGACTTAAATAAGATAGTAATCTTTTCAAAACTCTTAGCTCGATCAAACTGTGCTTTATTTTTCATAGTTGTATATATATTTGTTTTCGAAACTTCATATCAAACAAATCAGAGTGGCGCAGCGGAAGCGTGGTGGGCCCATAACCCACAGGTCCCAAGATCGAAACTTGGCTCTGATACTTGGAAAGTTTAATTTTTTAATTTCTAGTGATTCTGTGACACGTGGTCTTGGTTATTTTTAACACAACGTTCTTTTTTTTTTTTTTAATTTATTTATTTTATTTCTAGTGATTGTGTGACACCCTTCTTTTGGTGGAAGTGCGAGATCTTGATTCTAGTGTTGGGTGGTAAAAAAAAAAAATCTCAAAACTCAAAACGGAAACGCATTTTTTGTGTTTTTATTTTTTGGCCAAATTTATAAACTGAGACCACTGATTTATAAATCAAAAATTTTACCAAACAAGTTTTTATTTGAGTTTTTAAAATTTTTATAAATTTAAACAGAAAACTGAAAACGTAAGTGTTACCAAACGACACCTTAGAAATACGTAAAATATCTATAAAATTTACTTAATGAAAAATTAAATTTGATCATTACTTTTAAAACATAGAATTATCTGATCTAAAATTGCAAGATTCACAATCTATTCTTCTTGTATTGTTCCAATTTTATTGGATGTGCCCAAAGGGAAAAGAGATTCAATATATAATCTTTCTTATGCGAACACAAAATTTAAGGATAGGTCATTTACAAATTTAACATTATTTTCCATTAGTCAACTCAAAATGAAATAACTCCATCTGCACAAGCAAACAGACCTAACTTTTTCAAGAAACCAACTTGCTCCTATTATCTCCAGGTCACATAAATAAATACATACATACATATACAAAATAAGTAGGCTGCAAACAAACTGAGCGGTTACCAAACAACACAGGATTGGTTGTGTGATGGCTTGGTTTGTGTTCGTTTATTTAGTTAAGAAACCAAGCTTGAAATTAATAGCAAGCCTGAACCGCCAAGGGCCAAAGATTGGCTCACTAGCCTTGTGACCAAACTACAGTTTCAAGTAAACACTCTCATAAAACGGTTGTTTGGGATGTTTTAAATAAGTGCATTTTTTGACTTTTTATGAAATATGGGTTGGGTTTGAAATTATATAGTAGAGAGGTGATGTGACTTAAATAGGATAATGTGACTTAAATAGGATAGTGACTTTTTGATTTTTTTAGGAGATGCCAAACCTAGCCTTGGGGCCCTAAACAATCCAAGCATATTAGGTTCCAAGAAACCAAATGACGCTATCCGGTTCTTTTTGTCTTCCTGGTATGATCTACTGTCTTCCTCTCTGGTCTTCCTTTCATCTATTTTCTTCTTTCATATTGTTTTCTCTGTTCTTATTCACCCCTAGCCTAGAGAAAAAAAAAATTGATTGTTGAAAATAGTCTTCACATGATTTCAGACAGCTACATCAAGGAAGAGGCTCCGGAAAATAGAGGTTCCTTTTTCTGTTCTCGTATCCTTCTTCAATGTTGGCACTTGGCATCATTGTTACATAAGAATGCAACTGTGGAAAAAAGGTTTCGGGTTATGCTTGAATAATTTAAGATTGGGTTACCCTTCATGTTAATAACAACCATGCTGAGCACTAGCTAGCCTAAAACATAGGCTAGCTTTTTTTCCTTTCCTCCTTTATTTATTTATTTATTTATTTTTTTTGGAGTTTGTGTGTGGGTGGGTGGTTGGGGGGAAGGGGGTGGTGGGGATTAGAGGATTCAAATGCCTAATTTGAGTATAGAGGATTCAAGTGCCTAATTTGAGTACGGGGTTGGACACATATTGTCATATCCAGTAGACATGGGTACATTGAGAGAAATGTAAGAGTCTATGTAACACTGGGAATGGACTTGAAAAAATTGCTTCCAGAAAGACAACTGGAAAGTTTTTGTAACATGTAAACTGCACCAGACACATCAGGTAATTAAGCTAAGTAAATTTCAAAGACAATGACCAATGCCCACCAAATATTTTCCAAATGGCATTGTTGAAACTAATGACTGATATCTGCACGTGAAGATGGGTTTAAAGTCAAGTAACAATTACCATCAACAGCATCATGTGAGGTTGGTGAGTGCCCGCTACAGATAATCCAAAATTGAAGTCGTTCTTTGGCAATCTCCTCTTCTACACCATGGACTTCAGCTCTTCTCCAAAAATACATAAGCCATGCCTGTGCAAGTTAAATGTGAAATTAACAAAACAAAAAATGCCATCAGGATTAGACATCAAGTTTAAACTAAGAAAAAGTTGCACAGAAATAATATCGTAAAAATGAAATTGTGCATAAAACTTGATGACAAGGCATGCTGAATTTCCAAATCCTTGGCAAGGCTGGAGCTGGATGGAACTCGCAACATCAGTTTCAGAAATTTACTCTCTTGGGATACCCAGTTGAGATTCAAATTACTCCTGTCATTCATAATTGGGGAAAAAAATATAATTGTTTCTATACACCAAAATAAAGAAAATAAATTCACAAAGTAAAATAACAATAGATTGTGGCCCCATAAAATATGTAACTTTAGTAAGCCACTGTAATAGTCACAGAGAACTTAAAGCAATTAATTCTCAAAATCCAAGAGAACAAAATTAAACAAGAGCACCTAGATAGAGAAACTTCATGAGCAGTAAAGCAACTTGCTCAACAATTATGACAAAAACCTCATTAATGTTGCATGATATATATTTTAGTAAGCTGGACCTCACCTACAGCCTACATGGTTAACCTTCCAGGTCAATTTTGCTAGACATAACTCACTTTTAAATCGAGTTGCACAAACACAAGAATTGATGGATTCATGCAACTCAGTGAAAAATTATATGAATGTGTTGAATTTAACACACTGTAGAGTTACAAGCATAGTTCACAAGTCTCGGTAATCAATAGTGACCACCTTTTACGAGAGAGTAAAATCATATAAAAAAGCTACCTGACAATGATCATCTGTGAGTTCCTGGGAAGAGTGTATTATTTGATATAGATCGATATCCATAAGTTCATATGCAGTATACACATCACTGAACTCATCTTTCTCTGGTGGCCGTATGATATCCTTAATTTTAATAACCTGCACAATAGTAGTATGTCACATCATCTCAAACTCATAGCAGAACATAAAAGCATCCAGAAAATAAGGGTCTGACATTTATTCTCCATACTCTCCTCTGTAAATCTTGAATTTATTTATCACAACAATGGCTAATGCCTTTGTTGACATAATTGATCACGTTTTAAAATAGAAACTAAACACAAACATTGGCACGAAATCTAGCAATTTATGATTGCATAGCTTGTAGAGGAGCTGTAGAAGATATGTGACCCCAAACAACTAAGCAAGTACTATAATTTATGTAAAGTTGTGATTACATTCTCATGATCCATATGGCAAAACAGTTTGATTTCGCGTAGGGTCCTTTTAGCATCAATTCTGTTATCAAATGCATTCGCAATTCTCTTGATTGCAACCTCTTCCTTTGTCTCGGAATTTGTTGCACATCTGCAAGAAGGAAATAAATTTAACCCACACCCAGCTATAAGTAAAATAGAGAGAAAAAGAGATTTGGAAATATTGAGGCAGAAACATGTTGGGTGTGATGCTGACCATTAGAAGTGTATGTATCTGCAATAAATAACACAATTCCTTGCATCTTAAATAGGTAATAAGCTTCAAAATCACACTCACCGATTGTAGTATTGACCAATGGATTAGGTTTAAGTATGCAACGTAAACAAAACTTATAAAGGTATTGGTTAAAAAAGGACAAGCATAACCATTGTATACTAAGAAGAGCAATTTTGATTTAACTTACTGTATCATCTTTAAGTAGAGTTATAATGAGATAACTGAATGAGTTACCTTTATTTTTTTAAAACGATATGTTGGCATTGGGCCTGTTTAGTAGGGCTTATAAGCTGCTTATTTCAGCTTTTAGTTTAATTTAAGCTATTTTGTTGTGTTTGGTGTAGCTTAAGAATACAGATTATAGCTTTTTATAAGCTAAAAATCAACTTTTTCTTGAAGTGGCTATTGAGGTGTTTTTCTAAATCAGCTTAAACGGCAAGCTGAGAAGGAATGGGTAAATTTACTTAAATGCCCCTCATCAACTTCAAGTATTACCAAAACACCAATATATAAATCTCAAATTCGCAATCACTGTTCACTTCAGAGAGAGCGGAAAGGCGATTTCCGGCGAGAGCGAAAAAGGGTTCTCTCTCTTCGCAATCTCTCTCTCTCTCTCTCTCTCTCTCTCACGATCTGAAACTCTCTTTTCATCGCGATCCGGTCGGAGAACACCGCCATCGCATCAACGAGAGCTCACTCTCTGTCTCTCTCTCTCTCTTTGCAATCTGGTCGGAGAACCAGGCTAGATCACGATCTGAAATCCTAACGTCGCGATCTGGTCAGAGAAACCACTGCCATCGCATCAACGAGAGCTCTCTCTCTATCTCTCCCTCTTCGCGATCTGGTAGGAAAACCATGCTAGGGTTTTGGTAGACCGTAAGGTCTAGGGTTTCAGCTGAAGGAGAAGAGGGCTAGGTCATCGACGGCAATGGGTTTCGGCTCACGCATCTCCGGCGTTGTTTCGACAGTGGCTAGGTCATCTCCGGCGCTCCATTATTATTATTAAAATAATTGATGAACAAATAATAATAATAATAATAATAATTGATACTAAAGAAATACAGATATAAATAATTAAAATGAATATATAAAAAATAATATGTAATGAAATCACAACATTAATATAAATTAGAACATAAATATTAATTTTAATGAATTAATAAATTAAACAAAATTAACAAAGAAATAAGAGAAGAAAAAAATGTATTATAAATAAAATCACAAATTTTATATCTTATAGGGGAAAAAATGACAATTATACAGCAAAAAGCTATTTTACAGCTTATTTACCAAACACTACTCTGCTGCTTAAATCCATATTTCCACAACTGCACCAAATAGGTTACTAGTTTATGTTCACAACCATGAGTTGTAATCTATTAAGCTATAATTTGTAATCACTTTCCCACAGCTCTACCAAACGAGGCCATTATATCAAATCCCATTTCAAAATGGCATTTGGAACTTGGAAGTGAAAATAGCATCATTGAATCTTGGGAAGTTGAAACGGAAAAGAGATCATTTTTCTGTTCTTTAGTCCACACTAAATCCAAAATAAAAACAAAAAATTCCAAGAGAACCCTGATGTCACATTACAAATTGGCATTTCGAAACAAATACGATCAGTTTGGTTGCCAAGAAAACTTAGTAAAGCAGAATGCACATGAGTTTTGAAGTTTTACAGATTTTTCTTTTTTTAATTTTCAATTAAACAAAATTATATTTACAATCACAATTTCCCCGAATTTTTTATTTTCACATACCCTTTATTCGGATCATAGATTTGGGTACAAATTTCAAAAGGGAAATGACCCAAATCCATGATCCAAACATAGCCTTAATTTGCACTGGTTTCTCATTTAAACGAAATGGTAAGAATATACAAATAATTACATGCAAACGCACACATGTATATACATCCCAATTGGGATTTGGAAGCACAGATAAAATCAAAACCCAATTACAAGAACTCTTTAAAACAAAACAAAAGAAAACAAAATTTAGGGCTTGAGCTGTGAAATCGAGTTTTCTTTCATTTTATTACACAAGCACACACACATATATCATATATATATAGGGAAAGAAAGACCCATACTCACCGCCGCTACTCATAGTCGCTCTACGCGCTGAGTGAGTGAGAGAGAGGCGATTGAAACTGAGTGAGCGTGTGACAGAGAAAGAGAGAGACGCCGCTGAGAGAGAGAGAGAGATGAGCGACAGAGAGAGATGCTGTCGTTGCTGGACGCCGCTGCACGCCGCCGCACGCCGTCGCTGCACGCCGCCGCTGCACGCCGCCGCCTCTGCTACACTACGCCGTTGAGAGAGAGAGAGAGAGAGAGAGAGAGATGAGCGCGACTGAGAGACAGAGAGACAGATGAGAGACTGAGCAAGAGAAGAAGAAAAAGGGGGCAATTTTGGGAATAATTTGTTTGGTTTTTTTTTTTTTCCTTTTTTCTTTTTTCTTTTTGAAGATGTGGCAAACGAACTGGCTTAAACGAGTCAAAATTGGTTTTGTATTAAAAATTTGTTTCAATATTTGAAAATTATTCTTTGAGTTTTTAATTAGTATTTTTTTTTAATTTTTAGTGAAAATTTTTAATATTTTAATCATTTTTTTAATTGATTAAAATATTAAAAAGGTTCATTAAAAATTTAAAAATTAAGGATTGAAACTTGAAAAATAATTTTCGAAAATTGAAACCAAACGAAATCAATTTAAACTCACATATTTAATAAAGGGGTTTAAATGGCTTCAGTGGAGATGGAGTGCTAGTGGTGGTGGTGTTGGTGGTGGTAGTGGGGCAGCAATGGAAGTGGAGTGGCGGCAACGGTAATGGTAAAGGTAAAGTAAAGCAGTGGTGGTGGGAGAAAAGTGGTATCGGCGGCGGTGGTAATGGTAGTGGTGGGGGAGTGGTGGTGATGGTGGTGGTGGAAGGGTGGTGGTGGTGGAAGTAGTGGAGAGGTGATGGTGGTAGTGGGGTGATGCAGTGGGGTGATACAGTGGCAAAGGCGGCGGTGGTGAAGTAGTGGCAATGGTGGTAATGGTGGTAGTGAAGTTGTAGCGGTGGTGGTGTAAAGGTGATGGCGCAGTGGTGGTAAAGTGGAGGCGGTGGCAGTGGTGGTACTGGTGGTGGAAGAGAGTTAGTGGCGGCAGTGGTAGAGTGTGATAGCGGTGGTGGTAGTAGTGATAGTAGTGGTGGAGTGACAATAGTAGTGGAGTAGTGGCGACAGTGGTTGTGGAGTAGTGGCAGTTGTGGCAATGGAAGTGGAGGAGAGGTGGTGATGGAGTGGTGGTAGCAGTAGCGGTGGCGGTAATGATGGATCCGTGGCGGTAGATATGGTGGTGGTGTTGGAATAATGGCAATGACAGTAGAAAAATCCATTTAAATAGGTACTCATGTCTAACCCGAAGAGAGCTTTGCAAAATAGGAACTGATTTGGGCAAACAAAGAGGGCTTCTCACTTATAGCATGAAACGACGTCGTTTTGCATAATAAAACTATAGAAGACGAAATTATTTCCTCGCAGAAAATTTTGTACAAAGGTGACGAAAATTTTCGTCTCTAAAATGGCTCCCAAATATTTTGTGAAATTTCCAAGGGCAGTAATTTTTTTTGCAACGAAAAATAAAATATAAAGACGAATAAAATTTTCTTCACCTATTGTTTTATTGATTTTAAGCATTTGGTGACGAAATTTGATTTGTCTCTCTAAAAATAATATAATTGGAGACGAAATCTTACTTTTATCTCTAAAACATATATATTTGGAGATGATATTTTTTTTCATCATTGAGTTTTCATCACCAAAAACCTTTTTTGTTGGAGTGAAAATTGATAAAGGAAAGAAGATTGGCGAGTTCTCAACCCAAATCCCTAAATGAAAATTACAATGAAGGTTTAGAACAGAGGCACAAAATGAACTCAATGATAGGCCCTCTCATTTTTCTTGCCAAGAAGCTAGTAATTTGGAAGTTGTCGAAATCAATTGCCTACTTAATCGCACGATAGAGAGAGAAAGTGATCGCACAAGAACAAAGAAAAAGAAAGTGGGGGCAGGAGTTGAAGCAACGAAGGTTGAAGTAGTGTTGGTAGTAGATTAGAGGGTGGGATTGTGGACGCCAGCAATCTGAGGTTGCTATGGAGGCTGGGATTGTGGATCTAAGCATGGAAACTCCAACAAAGATTCAGAGTTGTTCTGAGCGAAGTCATTTCGCCAAGTCATGCGCTGACAATCTCAAATTTTAGTGGGTAGCTATGGCATCTAGGAGGGTAAGTGATTTGGGATTTGTGATTTGGGCTTGGTTTTTTTATCTGGATTTTTTGTTTTGGGGAAGCAGAGAGCTAGTTGCTATTCCTGTTTTGTTTAGTTGTTGGTTTCGCCTCCCACATGTTCGAAAAAATGCCTCAGTGAAAATGTTATGGAGCACAGAGGAAATGGAGGTTGGATTTCGGTTGGGAGGCAGCGGAAAGGTGGAGAAGCACAAGGCAAGGAGGCTAAACATTAACTATTTACTGTCTTTGTGGATAATCTACCTTTAGCAATGGATGCTAAAACACTGTTCAAACTTTTCACAAAGTTTGGGATAGTGAATGATGTCTTTATACCTGCCAAAAGAAGGATAGTGACAAACTCAAGATTTGGGTTTGTGAGATTTGATTGCCATGTAGTAGTAGAAATTGTCATCCAGAAAGGGAATGGTCTATTGGTGGATGACATGGTGCTGGAAGTCAAAAAAGCTACTTATGTCAAGAACATCAGAGATGAACAAAGCAAAAGTAGGCCTCAGATCATCAAGAAACATTTTGAAACAAGCAGAAACAGGGCTGAAGTTTCTTTTGCAGGCTGAAGATCCTTTGCTGAGGTACTAAAAGAGGTCTCACCCACAGTGGCTGGGAAAGCAAGTTTGAGTTTAAAAGTTAATGATGATGGGCATGGCTGGCTCTATGATAGTGCAATAGTTAGGCTTAATACTGAATACCCCACTCATTTCATTGAAAATGCCCTGAAGGAGAAAGGGGTAGATCAGGTATTGGTCATAAACGAGGGAGGATGAGATATAGTTTTAACCTCACATCTCAAGAGAAGTTGAAATCAAATATATGCAATATCAAGGATTAGTTTAAGGATTGGATTCAGTTTGTGGTGGATTGGAAACTAGGAGTTAATATCGAACAAGAGAGATGTGTGTGGTTGAGATGTCATGACATACCGTTAAATCTCTGGAATAGGAGCACATTTAACAGTATTGGAAGCCTTTGGGGTTCAGTTCTCAATTTGGAGGGAGATATTTGTCAACCAAAGGTATTCTCCCATACCAGAATCAGAGTGGTTACATCTTGTATAGAGTTTATAAACAAAACTATAGTATTGGAGCGTAAAGGTAAACTTTATCTCATTCTTGTATGTGCAGATCTTCTATCAAACTCTAGTAACATGAAGCACAATGCATGGAAAAGAGCAGCTCTAACGATATCTGTGGCAGTAAAGTGAAAGGAAATGTTCCAGAGAAGTGTTGCAAGGAGAAAGAAGAAGATGTTGAGGTGACAAGAGTCAAAGTACACAGCGCAAACAATGGAATGGTGGTAAACACAGTTGTTTATGAGACAAAGTGGGATGAAGGATTCAACAGAGATAATGAGCATGTACCAAGGAGGTAGAACAGATGGAAGGGCTTATTGACTGTTACACAAGAGAGGAGTCAGCGGAAACTTTGATTGTGGAGTCAGTGCATAGCCCAAAATGTCAGGTGCAAGTCTCTACACCTGGATTTATCAGAAGCCTTAATGGATCTAGAGATGGACTTGGGCATGGCATCAATCTTGAAGTAAACTTGGCCCAAGCACTTAGTAAGAACTTAAATGGAAGGGGCATATTGAGCCTAAATCATTCAAACCTAGGTAGACAAACTGCTTATATCCAAAAATTCCTGCGGATTGAGAAGAAAAAAATAAAGAAGAAGGTTCAGTTAGAGGGATTCACTAGTTTTGCTAGACTTTATGGGCATAAAGCTGCTACAGTTAGCAAGCACAACTCCAACTCCATTATCTACAGACTAGCAGCAGCTGCTATAGCACTTTCAGATCTATCTGAGGGTGCTACAAGTCCGAACAATTATCTACTTGAAAAAGCTAAAGCCACTCTACAATTGGGAAAATCTCTTGGCATCAATTTCAATAGGAAAGAAGATGTTGTTTTGAACAAGATTATTGAGCTAGAGCTACAGGATAAAGACAGAACCAACAAAGAGGGGTAAGCCGGTGAAGAAAGGTAGAATCTTGAAGCTTTTATGTTTGTGGGTCATTGGTAGGATTGTAAGAATGATGGTTTGGCTTAAAGTATCTAGAGTTGGAAGCAAGATTGTGTAAACCTCTACTATTGGCATTAGTGTGGTAAGTATAGAGGATTTAAAGTCAGAGTGCTCTTGTAGGTTATAAGCTTTTGTAGAGCTAGTCTTTGGGTGGCAACAAGTGTTGGTTTAAGCTAGTGTTGGTTTCTCACCAACATTATGTTTTGTTCCCTTTTTTCTTTTTCCTTTCTATCCTTATTGATGTAATCTCATATGTAATGTATGTTTTCTTCATCAATAAAGATTTTTTTTGATGATCAAAAAAAAAATTGATAAAGATTCTAAAACAAGATTGATGTGCACTCCTCAACTCTTAATCACATCAATTGATTCAAAAGGCAAAAACCATGTTAGAAATATTTAGACATTATCATCGAATTTTCAAGGGATGCTAGCTCATAAATTTCTACAAAGACAAACTTGTTAATGTCTGTCTTGTAGGTAAAAAGAATCTTTGTAAACATTCAATTATTCGTCGGAGTTATTTCTAAGACGACATATTTGTGTCGATCCGTCATATTGAATAATTTGCCATATGTGATATCTACTATTATTTATCTACTAGTATTTAATTTGTCATCTGTGATATCTACTACTATTTATCTACTATCTATCTATCTACTAGTATTTATAAAGCACGAAGAATATAAAGTGTTTTCTATATTTTTTTTTAATTCCTAAATTTATCTACTATATATATCTACTATCTACTACTATTATTATATCTATCTACTATCCACTATCTACTACTATTATAAATTTGTCACGCTCCACTACGCATTGAAGAAGAAAAGATTTTGAGTATCACAATGTTTTAAAATTTTGAAGACCAAAACAGACATTCAATTGAAGTAGAAAATCAAGTTGATTTCAACAATGGTGAGAACATTGAAATTGATGAAAGAGAGGTCACTGAAATTACTTTGATCAAGAAGTTTGAAGAAGACGATGAAGAGGTGAAGTAAGAGAGAAAACGTTGAAGTTAGCCAAGAGCTTCTAATAACGAAACTATCATCTCCTGATTATTATGATGGGTTATGAAATTGCAAAAGAAGGAGATCAAGTTGAACTCAAT